CTTCCCCCACCGCCAATATATATATGAACCTATGTTATTGGCCTTCAACAATACGGCTGACGGAACACTGTGATATTGGGTCCCAGTTCAGTACACGTATATATGTTTGTTTTAGAATAACGATTAATATGGATGATATGTGATATGTGACCACACTTTAAATTGCAGCTGGTCCCGAGCTATTTAGGCTCGCTCACCGATCCCAATATGAGGACCCTGCCTCGAAATAGATATTACGCGTTTATCTCACAACGAGCGATATATGCTTTGAAAAAACTCAGTGAAGGACACAGGAGTTACATAAACAATATCGACAGACATAAGTGAAGTTAGGTTTCCTACACCATATAAACTCCATATGTATATTCTGATCGCAGTGGCGAATTAATATATGGTGCAACGCTCACAAGTAACGCCATCCGGCTACATCTTTCCCCTTATGTCCAGTGTGACCTTCCTCGAGTGAGTATAGTTTTACGCCGCTTTTAGCAATATTCCAGTAATATCACACACTGAACCCATGTCGGAAATCGAAACCGGGACTTCGGCGTGACGAGCGAATGCTTTAACCACTAGGCTCACGCTCTCGGCCACACCCACACACCCGTGTCCAGAATACATTCTCCAGGGAGAAAGGCGGGGATGCAAATGTCAAACATTTATTAAAGACTCTAAGACTAGTTCAGTGAGGTAAATGACGGGCCTGAAATTCGACCTCACACATGTCTGACTTGTTTGTCAAATGGGATGAGTGGACCGACTCCTTGACTTAGATGGATGGCCTATCTTAACGCCAGTACAGCATGGCGTGTATAGTAGAGACTGGGCAATTTACACGCCGCTGTAAAAAGGTTGCCGATTCCGATTGTAAAATACTACCCCAAAAACTTTAAAGGCGCATATTCAGTCGAGATTTGCAGGGAAAGGGGGTCTCACAAAGTACTGAAAAGACACTTAGACTATAAGAGAATCATGTCTCAACGTATTTATTGAAGTAAAACGTCTATAGTTTATAAACATGTATCAAATATTTGCCGAAACAACTTTGTCAATAATTTTGGGGAATACCTTGTGTATTCTTGTCCCAATCGCGATGTCATGATGTTCAATGCCGACTAAATATATAGGTGGAATATATAGTGAGTTTAGCTACATGGCGGCGGTCTGTAAATAATCGAGTCTGGACCAGACAATCTAGTGATCAACAGCATGAGCATCGATCTACGCAATTGGGACACGATGACATGGGTCAACCAAGTCAGCGAGCCTGACCACCCGATCGCCTTTCCGAAACGGCCAGTGGAACCTGAACCACTGACCTCGTAATATATACTAGCCACATAAAGAAACTGTGCACACACAACATTCCTTCAGAATTGGAATACAACACAGAAAAGACGAAATGATGTAGACACATTAGAAGCTGAAGTATTGGGCCACAACAACATGTCAAAAGAACATGAACAATATCCGTAACGATGACGTCAGAAGTTCAAACTTGAGTAGGGGGTCACATGTCGGAGTCACAAAGTTATTAAAGGGTTTGACCATCATGCGTGTGAAGCACAGCAATGCATCGTCGACGCATAGAGGCTACTAAATGAGCATTGAAGGCCTGGGGAATGGTTTGGGACGTGGTCACTGCCGTCTGGAACCTCTGTCTGAGATGAGTCACCCGAATCCATCTGTCCTGTCTTGGCGTCGTTACTCGGGGACGCCCAGAACGTGGGTGGTTGTCGACGTCATTACTGTTTCCATAACGCCTGACCAATGCAAATATCGTGTTACGATGGCATTGGAAATGTGCTGCCACCTGTTGTTGGCTCATGCTTGCTCATGCCTGCTCGAACCATTCCAATGGTTTCATGACGTTGAGCAGATGTTAATCTTGGAATGATGTGCATGTGACTTCTCATGTGAATTTGTGAACGTTTGAATGACCAAAGATCAAGCTTTCGACAGTGACAGCAATTTCTGAGTTTCACATGTTGTGTGCAGCTGCACAGGCTGCACGTGCAGTAACACATTGTAAGTCCACAGGCCTCCATCAATGACGGAACGTCGCCTGGCACCTGCATGAGCGTTTGATTGTCTCTAATACTTGCTATGTTCACACCTTTATTTATGTATAAAGACGCTGTCTGCCTATCTTTATATTTTCTGTGTGCACAGTTTCTTTATGTGGCCAGTATACTTGTATGCGAGGTCACGGCCATAGAGACGGGACATGAGAGGTCAGGTGGACTGCAGTTTAACGTGGTGTTACAAAATATTTGTGTTTTTCCATTCAGGGTGGCAAGCGGGGAGGGGGAATGGGGATGGGTTGAAATTGGGACTGTTTTCTTTATGTTATCAGCAACATTTCAGTTACATGGCTGCGGTCTGTAAATAATGGAGTCTGGACCAAACCATTCTCTTCCCACAGAGGTTACTTGTCATATATCTTCCTACGGGCCTCTGTTCTAATACGGCCATATTTCCCGGTTCTCGTAAAATCCCCTAGCGGCAAAAGATCGCAACACGAATTATCTCCCTTCTTTCTATCCAATCAGAACACGTGTTACATCGACTTAGATTCAACTTGACTAACACAAGCAAATGTGGGGCCACAAATATCCTCCATCTACCGGGACTTGTGTTGATGTTACACACAAGACGTTTAATGGCTAGCTTGTCCGTTGTCAACGAGGGCGATGGAGACGCCACTGATCCGCCATAACATGACTGAGTTCTGTCTAGAAGAAACGTTTGCGCATCGCGCAGGGGAAGAAGTTTAGTTTTCTCGAAGCATACGGAAATTACCGAGGCCTTGCGAATGATCACTTTTGAAACAACGTCGCTGATTGCACAACTAAATCTGATTGCCTCCAATCACGAGTCTTGAACGCTCACACCATGAAAGGGCCGTATTAGAACAGAGGTTACGTAGGAAGATATGACAGGAGTAACCCCCTGTGGGAAGAGAATGGGACCAAACAGGCCAATGATCAACACCATGCGCGATTGGGAACCGATGACATGTGTCAACCAAGTCAGCGAGCCTGACCACCCGATCCTGTTAGTCGCCTAGCTCTTACGACAGGCATCGGTGACTGAAGATCAATTCGAACTCGGATCTTCACTGGTATTGCTGCTGTTAAAAGAAATAATCCCCAATACGTATAGTGCTTGGCGTTGTATTAAATGCAGGAATTAACATTGCCGTGTGTATTTGTCTCGTATATAGAGCCCGGCGATCTAAAACATACCCAATAATATAACGGGATGAATTTTGACGCAATGATCGGTAAATTACAATAGATTATTTCACCAAGAGAAATATATCCTAGCATTGTGTAATTGTAATTACAGGTTTTGTTCTATAAATGTAAAATATGTATAATCAACACGAAGGTTATATATATATATATACTGAACAGCAAAAGAAACGCAAGTTTCGAAAAAATGAAATCTCACAGTAGTAAGTGTTCATGTTTATGAAACGTTCATGGCAAAGTGACGTAATGATCCCAGGTGAGATGATGTCATGCAATTTGACGTCCATACGAAACTTTCGCACAAACACACCCACAGTGCAGCAAAACCATAATTTTAGCTCCTGCATCGACGATTCTGGATACCTTTATAAAGGTTTGTGTCAAAAAACAGTTTGGTATTGACGCTAGGAGGTGTACACGCCACACAAACGATGCCTAGACTAACGACTGAGCAGAGGGGAATGGCCATTGGAAAGTTGCACGGAGGTAGCTCTGCAACCGCTGTAGCTAACAATTGGGCTGTCAACTTACCACCATGACACGACTTGCTCAACGTCAACAGCAAACCGGGGTTGCTGCTGATCGTCCCCGTACCGGACGGTCACGAATGACAACTCCTGCGCAAAATCGATTCATCCGGGTCACTCATGCCAGGAACCGAACTCAAGCAGCAACAGTAACAGCAACCTTAGTTCATGGGTCAAGGGGAGCAGTGTCCTGCGATACGATGAAGCATCGTCTTCGCACTGCTGAAATCCACTGCCGACGGCCATATGTGGGACCAATTTTGACACGTCAACAACGCCAGCGACGTTTACAGCCCTCACACAGCAAGAGTGTCGATGGATTATCTGACTCAGAACAACATTAATGTTCTCCCATGGCCGTCTTTTTCCCAGGATATGGCTCCCATTGAAAACTCTGGGACGAAATTAGACGGATGATTGGTGCAGGTAGACAGCCACTCACGCTGCACAGTTGGAACAGAGATTGGTGTTTGAGTGGAAACACTTGCCCCGGGCATTCTTTCAGACCCTCGTGAATTCAATGAGACGATGTTGCACGGCCTGTGCTACTAAAGAGACTGTCACTTTTCACATTTGACGGAATGTGATCAATTTGAACTTATTGCAATTCAATGTCAACAGCAACTTTCAGCTGTTAATTTGACAGTGTTTTCTATAGACTAAATGATTAGACATAATTTTGGCGGTCTTCTATTAAAAAAACTTGTTTTTTTTGCTGTTCAGTATATATACGGACCCTAACGAACATGGTAAGCGGAAGTTGTACGCCCATGGAAGGAGGTGAAATAAACATGCTAGTTTGTTGACAACTTGATCGTCCAGCTACAATAAATATAACATTTAGCGATCCAGAAATTATATATGTATCCATGTTCTGTCAACTACACTTCATTTCGAGACGCGAGTAGACACTATATGTGAATAATGCAGACAGAAGTTATAATTATCGGTAACTGGGGGGTTGTCTTGGCCGCGATTAGATCCCATTGAGGGGGTGAGCTTATGTACGAAACATACCAATTTAATACTTATATTAAGGGTCAAGTTAGGATGATTTGTAAATGCCACTTGCCACGGGTCAAGTTAAAATGCATTTTTCACCTGCCCGACATATACCTACTGTACCCGGGAGTCGGGCAATCATATTTTTTTACCCCTGAATGAGAAACACACGGGGAAATACGGATGGCCTCAGAATGTTTAACATGACACTTACCGTCGTAAATGCTGCTGTTAGAGGGCGCTACCTCAGTAACCCGGATGACAACGCCTGCACTGTCAATTTCTCTTCCGGCAATCCTTCCCAGTAGGAAGCTCTCTTCAACTTGTTCCGTTTCCTGTAAACAAACACACATGGACAAATTAATAACGGTATGAAGCTTTAAAGGAGTCTTGGTTCACAAAAATTGCCGGTCCTTGCAAAGCTGATTCTCGTCCTTCAAACCACATGGGTTCGAATCACTGTTTGGACAATAATTTTTGAAAATAAAAATGTAGACTTTTGCAGTCGTATATTGTTTTTATATGTTATTTTCAAAATCTTTGATGTCAAACTTGTCAAATAAAAAACTAAAACAGTAAACAGGACTTTTTTAACCAAGGACTTTCTTTTATATAATCAAGCAGAGCACCTCCTTTAAGATTCCTGTAAGGGCTATTCGTTATCTGGGGTTCAAAGTCACTGTCGTATTTTAACAATAATTCAAACATAATAACGTGTGTCATCCTGAGGGCCTGAATTGAAATTTATAACACTCAAGGTGAATTTTCTCCACGACCAAGCTTTGAATGAGGGTTCTATGTCTAACATAATATCAAGATATACCATAAAACGCAACAAGATGGCGTCCCCCACGAACAGCGCCTGGTTTTGTTTTCGATCAACGCTCTTCATTCAAAAAACACATTAAAAAACTGATAAAACAATGAAGGGAGGAGGGGACAACCGCGTCTCAACCCTGCGTTAGATATCAAGACATTTTGTATGGTGAATAGCAACACACATAACGTGGAAATACATACTGAGTATGCAATGAAATTATAATCTGTCCTGGCAACGCCGCAACAAGTGTTCAGAGGACATACATATAAATACCCCACATAAATGTCACATCCTAGAACATCGCGACATTTGACACTCAACATTCAACGTTAAAACTTGCCAGCCAAGCATAACTTCCAACTTTAAGTATGGTCAGGTGAACACAGTCCTACTTTCTGGACAACCGCCTTCTCACGCAAACTAGCTGAGATTCCCGAGATCACACTCGCTGGTTATCTGTGGCCGCCTTATCAAACAATGTTGTCACTTACGGCAGTGTCACCTGTGTCCGTCAACTCCATGACTCGACTCCGTCGTGACACACGAGGGGCTTGTCTGTCCTTGTGAGAAACTCCGGATATGTCGTGAAAGGTCAGTTTGGGGTTTATAGCAGAAATATTTTTTCAAAAAGATATCACAAGTCGAGACAAAAATAAATACAGGTCACCATAGGGTTATCAAGACACAGTGAAAAATATTTGTATTGACTTGACTCACTGTCATCTGCCACAGATGTTTTTTTGTCGTATCTCATTAATTCCAAATGTCACACAGACTATACAGTCGAACCCTGTTTATCTGCAAAACTGCGCTTCTTCGTGTATTGTCCGGATAAACGAATTTCCAGACATCCGAATCACTTCGAAGATTCTTCGGAGAGGCAAATAAGCCAACACCGCCATTGTGTAATGACAGTTTTGACCGACTGACTGAGTTTGGTTTTACGCCGCTTTTAGAAATATTCCAGCAACATCACGGCGGGCGACACCAGAAATGGGCTTCACACATTGTACCCATGTGGGGATTCAAACCCGGGTCTTTGGCGTGACGAGCCAACGCTTTTACCATCAGGCTACCTCACCGCCCCTATTGTGTAATGCATGAAAGTCTTTGTGTATTATGCTGTCAAAAACTATGTCTTGTTCTTCAGTGATTTCATATGAAGGAAAGTGGGATAAACATTGCAGGGCTCGATTTTAGAAAATGAAATGACTGTTATAAATCTTGGTGATTTGGTCGAAAATTCCTGGCTTCGCCAAAAATGTGGACAATATCGACTGAAATTTTGAATAAGATATCAAAGGGTTACATAAATAGATCCATAAATACGATTAGTATTTTTGTGTGATCTGAATAAAAACTTGATGACATGAGTGAATTACTAAAAATCACATGGAACCCAACGTTGCGGGATGATGAATTGCAAAACAAACATCGACAAGTGTGGTTGTTTGGTACTGATTATTTCCACTGATATATTGACGAAACGAAATATTGGCGACATAGAGCGTCATTTAGCCGTAAATGACGCTCTATGTCGCCAATATTTCGTTTCTCGTATAAATCGCCCGGTATGCGAGGTTTCCGGTTATTGGGGGCTCGGATTGGCAGGGTTCCACTATATAAAGATAAGTATATGATGTAACTCCATATGAAAGTCACTGACCTAACATAGATACAGAAGCGAATAAATGAATAAATTTGAAATTTAATGCGAATACATAAGTCAGTACAATACGCTAATGTCCGTCCTGTTCCTACAGTGACAGAGATTTGGATCTAATTTACACACAGACAACTCTCACCCACCATACACGTGGTACCTGATCAGAATGAATGTCGTCGTTGTCCATGCCGCGGTAGCAGTGCTGTCTCCATTCACACAGTGGAACGATCACACATTTTTCAATGAGACACTAACCTTGTCAGCCTATCTAAGTGTTGATATCTAGGTCAGAGGAACACTGTTGTATATCTTGTGTGATGAAGACATAACGAGTGAGTGAGAACGATTTTACACTGCTTTGAGCAATATCCTAGCAATATCACGGCGGGGACACCATAAATACGCTTCACACATTGTACCCGTGTCAGAATCGAACAAAATTCTTCGGCGTGAGGAGCGAACGTTTTAACCACAGACTAAGCCATCGATTTTACACCGCTGTGAGCAATATCCTAGCAATATCACGGCGGGGGACATTTAAAATAGGCTTCACACATACCCATGTGGGAATCGAACCTGATTCTTCAGCGCGAGGAGCGAACGTTTTAACCACAGACTAAGCCATCGCTCCTGATGGTGTCCAGGAAACTTAGGTCCATTCGCTTGATTATTTCATTTGCTTATTAATGGTATTATTGTTTGCCGCTTTTGTGTGTATATTATTCTCTCGTCCCCCGTTATTAATAGCGACCCATCAAGAAGGACTGACTGAGTTTGGATTTACGCCGCTTTTAGCAATTTTCCAGCAACATCACGGCGGGGGACACCAGAAATGGGCTTCACACATTGTACCCATGTGGAGATTCGAACCCGGTTCTTCGGCGTGACGAGCCAACGCTTTAACCATTAGGCTACCCCACCGCCCCCCATCAAGAAGGATATGGTGCCACCAAATCCAGAGTCATGCTGGAACACAACAGAACCCAGGGACAGGGTTCATCTTCATGAGGCAGCAGTCTCTACATACCTCTTTAAATTAGATTAGTATTATTTCCGAAGCTCCACTTAACCTCTATAATAGCTTACAAATAAGTCTTTGATTTTGACGAGGCTAGTTTTGCTATTGGCGAACATCTATTTTTTTTTTATAGAGGCAAAAGTGTCCACAAGCCAAAATCGAAGGTGCGTGAAAAACGATGCTTGGATATTGCTAGCATCTTTCGAAGCAATAGTGTCCCTCTGCCCTTTTCACAGGACAGAAACGAAATATATTTAATCTATGAAATCTTTTAAATCTGCGGAATATATTTTTATGCATTGTGCCAACAAAGATAGGGTTCTCAATGATGCTGATAATTTATCCGCACCAAAAGGCTAATTCACATAGCATGCGTGTAAATGACGCTTCAACTTCAGCAAGTTCAAAGAAGGGTGTTGACCAATATTCAAGACACAAAATCACCAGGTTGCATACTCGATCCACGGAGATGGCTCCTGACTTTTAAGAGATGAGTGAGTTTGTTTTTCCAGCAATATCACGGCTGGGAACACCAGAAATCGGCTTCACACATTATACCCATGTGGAGAATCGAACCCGTGGCTTTAGAGTTACGAGAGGACGCTTTAACCACTAGGCTACCCCACCGCCCCTTTTAGAGATGAACATCATGGTATGTTTCATTTGACTTGGAATAACTCTTCTCAAAATTACACTTCCATCCATACATCAAGCACAGCCTCCGCATCAAACCGTTTACCATAGACACTATGTAATCTCTCATTGTCCATTCCAATTCTACCTGTCTACTTCCTGTTATAGAGGAGTACCTCCTTCCCTTCCCGTACCGCTCTTTTCAGGTACTTGTCGTGTTTATCGCAGCCTTGGTCGTGTTCTACTTCGTAACCTACTTACCTAGCTGTCTGTCACACAGACACACACAATCTCTGCACCCACCTACCTCTTTTCAAAATCCTGGAATCCACCCTGCAAATACTGACGTCACACAAAGAATCATTCATGCTGGTTATCAAAAGGATCTTTTACTGACCTTGGTCCGGGCTTGTCCACTACCTCGGTGTAATGCACATTGGTTTAGGTTTCTCCACTTCCTCAATGTAATCCATAAATCTCAATATAATAAATCACCACAAAATGCAATTTTTTTCGTCGTTATCAGAACAGGTCCACCTGACCTAAAGTGTGCTCGAACAGAACATCCGGGTCGTTTACACGAAAATATCGCAGGAATCATGTACATGAACACGTGACCTCACTATGGTCTAATTTGAGCCACAGGGAAAGATGGAAGCTTGCGTCAAAGTCTGAGACAATGAAAACACAACTAAAGGCATTTTAATACAACCCATCCACGTATTGCTTCAGGGGCGTAGGAACGGTTTTCAGTGTGTGTGCCGTGTGTGGGGGGGGCTAATTTATGACAATATGTTTTCGTCTGAAAAGTGGGGGCTAAACCACCCCTCCCCTGTTCCTACCCCTGTACTTTTTTATCCGTAGATTTCCCGTTTTTTTCGATCTCGCCCTCCCACCCCCACCTTACGTGTGTTCATCCTTAATGTGGTATTGGCCAGAAAATTATAAAAAAACCCAGAAAACTTCAATCCAATTGTTGATATGAATTATTACCAAGGCTTTGTGAAATGTTTACCTGAATAAATTAAACTGGGGCAGGGCTACAGATAACTTTTTTGGTCATTGAATTATGTACTCGCTTGTGTTCATCTCAATTGGGTATCCTAATTTTCCTTTGAGTTACCAAATAAATTGTACCCACCTCACTCAAACTCATTTGGGTATTTTGCCATTTCCATTAATTGTAAAAATATAATAAAGGTTAAATGTTGGTTTACGTTGGTTTATTTATATTTGATCTGTAATATGAGAAACAATAAAACATTGCAAGTTGCCAAGTTCATGTGTTGAAATAGAACCTCTCAATATACCACAGTTATTTTATCTTTCCACCGGTTCGCAAGCTAAGATTTGACATTTTTGTGTGTACGCATGTAAGATCAAATTTATTGAGTATTTACAAAAAATTCAAGGGTACCTGTACGCAATAGACTTAATAGGAATTGAGTTTTCACATAAATATTTGTGTAATTTACGCAGATACGCAGCTTATCTGTACCTCTACTGATGTCCGATATGGAGATGATAAATAACATCATATCACTGTTCGCCATTCCCTAGCCTGGCTGCAAGGTTGTACTGAAGAAGAAGCCCATTGATGTATGTTAATTCTACCCTTTTAAAAGGCAAGTCTAGATAAGCGGGCAGTACAAGGACGCCAGTCTGTTGTAGGAATATTTATATTTTATATATTAATTATTATCCCAGAGACTTGTGCAAGTCTAGCCGTTCCCCGGCAGGATCCATACAGTTTGTATCCCTCCAGGTCCCCGTTCCACAAAACGATGTGAGGTGATTGGGGGGTATCGGTCCGGGAAAGCGAAATTTCAATATTCTCTATTCCCGGTAAAGCGAAAACAAAAGTTGTGCTGGAAGTGCCGCGAAAGCGAATTGCTATGAAAACATCGGATTAACGTACTTCAGATTAGCGCGACCTGTGAGCCGCTTTACTGAGATGAAATTTCAGTTGTTCCAGCACTTGATCTATGACAAGTTTAAGCATCGGTGTAGGACAAGACGTTAAAATATGGTACTTGTTGGTCCCTGCCTGGCGCTCGGCATTAATGGGTACAACAAGGACTGGTCGGCTCGGAGTCAGTATAATGTGTCTGAGTAGGGTATTCATGCTCACTGCGGCATGGTATCTCAGTGGGCTAGCACTATAAAACCAGCTTAAGTCTGGGCTAGTACAAGCAGCCGCACATACACATACACACGCATGCATGTCGCCATATGAGCGAAATATTCTCAAGCACGACGTTAAACCCAATTTCACCTCACCTCCACCAGAAGTAAATGAAGTGTTGGTAAATTTGTCAGTTGTCTCCCATAGCTGTCAACCTACAACTGTCTGATTGGTCTTCAATGACCCATGTTTGTCGTAAAGGGTCGACTAACAGGATCGGGTGGTCAGGCTCGCTGACTTGGTTGACACATGTCGTCGTATCCCAATTACGCATGATGTTGATCATTGGACTGTTTGGTCCAGACTCCATTATTTACAGATCGCAGCCATATAACTGAAATGTTGCTGATAACAAACAGAAAACAGTCCTAATTTCAACCCATCCCCATTCCCCTCTCCGCTTGCCACCCTGAATGGAAAAACACAAATATTTTTAACACCATGTTAAACTGCATTCCACCTGACCTGTCGTGTCCAGTCTCTATGGCCGTGACCTCGCATACAAGTATATTACGAGGTCAGTGGTTCAGGCTCCACTGGCCGTTACAGAAAGGTTTCCGTGTTGTCAATATTGACAAGCAGATCAAGGTTGTCTTCGTTATTTGATTGATCATAAACCGGCTTTTATAACTATTTGAATCGTAACGAACAATACCAGGGGGTGATTTGAGTCAGCGTAGCTTTGATCATTGTTACAGTTATGTCACGGAGTATTGGCTTGATATTGGGAGAAAGTCTCAGACGATGTAGACTTATTGGTATGGTACTAACAAACCCGGGACATAATCAAACTGAAGTGGTCAAAATTATCTTGCTTTAGTCAACGAACCACGGTGCTTTTTTGGCCACTGGGACACACACAAACAGTGAGTGAACAGAGGCGTAGCTACCATTATAAACAAAGCCCGGGCTTACACATGATTGTTGCTAAAAAGGTTGGGCAAGCTCTAAATACTATCTATAAAGCACTGCAACCTATCGGGCTTACACAAAAACATTGGCTTGCTACGCGCCTGGTGAACTGAGTATAGTTTTAGGCCGCTTTTAGCAAGTGACGTCATCCGGCTTATGTCTTTCCACTAATACCCAGTGTGACCTTCCACAAGTGAGTGAGTTTTGTGTAAATGAATACCTGAGTGAGTTTATTTTTACGCCACTTTTAGCAATATTCCAGCAATATCACTGATGGGCTTCACACCATGTGGGGAATGGAATCGTCCGCGTGAAGCGCGAACGCTTTAAACCACTTGGCGACATCATCGCCCCAACAATGAACGGAGATTTTGGGGGTGTCTCCTATTCGAGGTGGAACGGTTCGACTAAATCTGACGGTTGATGATGATTATTAATATTATTTTGTTTTACAGTTTAAAATAAAATGCTCAGAGAGAGGTTGGGTGTTGTTGGCCCAGTCAGTCTGGTTAGGGTTATCATCAGGCCCCTTGGCCCCTTTACATGCCCCTTGGCCCTTTTACAGCCTACCATGAACATTACAGAGAATACATACACTCGACAGCCTTCTGCATCACCCTGATCCCAGAGTGTCACCAGGGCCCTGTTCCTCAAAGCGATCGTAGCGCTACGACAGTCGTAAGTCTATGTTAAAGTATGGGAGTTACGATCATCTTAGGGTTACGATCGCTTTGAGGAACGGGGCCCAGGGCTGAGCTGCCGGTGGAGAACCCGTGCTCACTCCTGATCTGCATCTGGACCCCGTTCCTCAAAGCGATCGTAGCGCTACGACAGTCGTAAGTCTATGCTAAAGTATGGGAGTTACGATCATCTTAGCGCTACGATTGCTTTGAGGAACGGGGAAGGAGTGCAGGAGGCTTTGCGCACCAAGCGCACTGAGATCAATGTGGACCCTAATGACAGTGTACATGTGAGATGCACCCGTGATATTTCAAAACGAGGTCCTAAATAATATTTATAATGCTTCACCTGACAACATAATTAGTTGACTGGTTTTATCAAAATGGACAGTATCAGGTTTATATTCAGGAATGTTCTCAGGCTGTATATTGGCCTGTTCAAAAGGCATGTTAAACTATCATTTTCCAAGGCGCCCTGAACGGCAGTAGAAACCACGAGCCATCGTGTTGTTTAAGATATGTTGTTTGTGCCAAAGAAGGTTGGTTGTTGTTTAACGCCGCACTCAGCTGTATTCCAGCTATAGTGGTACCAAAGGAGGACCTCCACTGACAGGTGTTGAATAGTCTCAGCGAATTCATTACATAGACAACAGCTCAGACTTCAACATTCTCTCTTTTTGGCGATTGTGAAGTCTGAAGTGACTGGTCCTTGAGAGCAAAAAGAAAGCCCTCTATTTCACTTTTAAGACGGGACGACTACCATCTTTTTGTTTTGCTGTTCTGATCTGTATGCATATACATACACAATGCAGTGGTCCACTCCCCGCGATTAAATTACTCTTTAAATGACCGACTTTCGGCTGACTTGGTGAATGGCTTTCTTCTGGAAATATATACGCACAATATAAGTTGCAATATTCTTGAACGCAAGCATTACACCTTACCTCACCTTACTTGTTCTTTGCCTGAAATAGACTCTTCCCACACGGACTTGCAGGGCTCGATTTAGTGATTTGTTACTTGCACTGATACTAGCCAATATTACAAAGTGCAACGTAGTTATTATTCTAACTTGCACCAGGTGCAGGTCAATTTTATAGTGGGTAAACTTCTGAATAAAACATCTAAATAACTCAATAGCATATTTCTTTCATTACATTTCTTTCATTTCACCATAAAATCAATGCGACTGGAATTTGGCTGGTGCAACTAGGTTTTTATCTTAGGTTGCACCTGGTGCAAGTAGGTTAACATCTCTTAATTCGAGCCCTGACTTACAAAACCAACGATTGCGTGATAAATATCGAATTGAGTCTGTACGTATTTTCAACAATACCTTTGTGTGCCGATGGAAGGTGTTCCCCACACTGAGGCTCCGTCCACGCTTATGGCCTCTTTGTGTGACGCCAGTCACCCATGCCCGGCCCTCTGAAGCAGGAACAACCTCTCTGTGGGGCAGGGATCCGTGTGGGGGTGGGGTAAACGCAGGGTTCAGGCTACCTGTTAGTGTCGTAGTCGTGTAGACCCCGGGACTAGCCTAAGATAATGGTAAAGAGATGAGTGAGTACGAGTTTACGATGATTTTAGCAACATTCCAGCAATATCACGGCGGGTGACACCAGAAATGGGCTTAACGCATTGCACTCATGTATAGAATCGAACCCAGGTCTACGGCGTGACGACCGAACGCTTTCACCACTAGGCTACCTCACCGCCCCATTAAGAGATGAGAAAGAAATAATGATACTGTAAATTTAATATATACTGACCGGCAAAAGAAAATATACGCTTATGTTTGATCTGGCAAACGATGAAACAACCAAGAATATTTTTTCCGGGGGTTGCGTATTTGTTACGGGTATCGAAGTTTTGTTTTGGACGTGAAATTTGGAGTGCTGTCAGCGAAAATATCAGGTAGGTATAAAGGTGTTTGGCACGAGTAACAGGTTTGCGCTCGATTGAAACACGACTAACTTATCAATGAATTTTAATCAGAAAAGTAGTTCGCCATAATCTGACCCTAGGTCATCACCACAGAATAGCCAATGACGGACTTTTAGTAATCAATCTCACGCATATGTTTGATACCAATTTCCTCACATGGGTTTCTCACCTACGGGTGTGTAAGAAATTGGCATAAACGGATATAACGTTATACAGAAATGTGGCGATTCTCTACTCGTACCTCCTGGGTTATATCCACTTCGGCTGATGCTTTGTTCCCCATCTGTGAATACTGATGCCCCATACATTAACACTTTCTTTATATACGGCAGATTAGTATGTCGACACACGTCGCCAACAGTATTCAAAGGCACGACCAAGTGAAGTATTTTAGGAACACCCCTCCTGCAATAGACAAGTTTTTATGCCTGAGACGAGGTTAAGATGATAAGGATTATTTTTTGATTGTGAAAAGCCAAGTTTCTATGTCCCTCTTGATCGTATAAAACAACCGTGTAGACCCGGGTTAGGTTTAATCTTCAGAAATTTATGCATGTCTTAAGAGGCGACTGACGGGATCGGGTGGTCAGGCTCGCTGACTTGGTTAACACATGTCATCGTATCCCAAGTGCGAAGATCGCGATGCTTATATTATAATGTTAATCACTGGATTGTCTGGTCCAGATGCGAGTATATACATACATCTGCAATACAGCTGGAACTATTGTGTGCAGCGTTAAACAATAAAAATAATAATAAAACAAAACTTTACCATTAATTGGTTGACAACACAAGCACTCCTCGGCCATTAACTTTAATTTGTGTCATTGCTGGAATTTGTGGGCAGTTACTACTCTATCTATCTATCTATCTATCTATCTATCTATCTCCGGATTCCTCATCATTAACTGCCGAATCTGATAAAACAGTTTCTCAGAAATTACACTCATATTGTAACATTTTGGTTTTTAGGCAATCTTATCTTATAACAGAACTCCCTTTCTCCATATATCAAACGAATCTGCAATTTTGTTCTTGAATGTTTTATTTGAAAAGGATACTTGTTGTACGAAAACTAATTATGCTAATTTCTATAAGGTCATGATTCATTAATCCTCAGAGAACTTCTCAACAGGCGGGTGTATTTACTCAATCGGAACGATTGAAGTACGTTGACCGCATTTCTGTCACCATTACATCGAGATGAAAAAGAATCCTGCTTCAAACATTCACATCTCTATAAGAATACATAGAAGTATGACATATATTTACTTTGGGATAATGTAAACATCCTGGTATGATATATAATGAAGGCCGTGGTAGATCTGAACACTGGGACAGGAACTGTTCAATGATGAAGACGTTGTGTGGAGCTTGGGGTGCGCTCTTGCCGATCGTTGTCGTGATGTCGGGTGTTGTAGAGGTCGTAGCGTCTCATGGGTACCTCCTTGACCCCCCTCAGCGTTCCAGCATGTGGCGTGTTGGGTTCGACACGCCTGTGAACTACGACGATATGGGACTCAACTGTGGCGGAAAAGAGGTGAGCTGTGATCAACTTGTTATTCCTAGTTGTATTTGTAATTAAGAGTGTACAACAATCCAGTCTCGGTCTAAGAAGTTCTAAGTTTGTCAGCGCCATATTCACTCACTCACTCACAGAAGAAGAAGAAACACATCACAACTGTGAGAGTTTAACAAGTGATTATTAAGAATGAGAATGAGTTTATTTCTGTATGGGGACCACAGACCCAGTATACAAGTACATAAAGTTTTACAAAGTGATACCAGCGCCATATGATATGACAATATTCAACATGATACAACAATTTTTTCAAAATACAGTTGTCGTATTTACATACGAAGAAATAACAGATTAACAGTTTGTGGATTAATAGATCATATCATTAATTGTTTAAATGTTTCCATCGTTGGATAAGTACACTGAAAGGGTGTCATGTCTTAATTTAGCTGCTGTTGATAACTGGATTGTCTGGTCCAGACTCGATTATTTACAGACCGCCGCCATATAGCTGTAATATTGCTGAGTGCGGTGTAAAACTAAACTCACTCACTCACTTAATTTAGCGTAATATGGACACACTAAACAACAGTAATATTGAGATTGTACACAGGGAATAACACACAAGGGACAAAGTCTTGCACTTCTATGTAAATTATACCTTCTCCCTCTTCCATCAGCAGAATATGGTTTGAGCAACGAAACTCAGATAAACTACCCTATACACAGGAAAAGTAATTCCATATTAAATAATTCAGATCTAATTTCCGATTTAATAGTCCTAAAAATGCGGTCTAGAGTGAGTGAGTGAGAAAGTGAGTGAATTTGGTTTGGGGCTGCCGTTGACAGTCCACCGGTTTGGAGATACGAGCAACCACAATATAGCACTGAAAAACTTAGAAACATAACCAGGGGGTATTTATTATTGGAAATAAGTGAGTTTAGTTTTACGCCGCTTTTAGCAATATTCAAACAACATCACGACAGGGGACACCAGAAATGGTCTTCACACATTGTACCCATATGATGAACTAACGCTTTAACCACTCGGCTACCACCGCCCCGCCAGAAGAAGAATCATATCACTATGAGAGTGTAACAAGTGATTATTAGAAGCTAGAAACATTATCAGGGGGCATTTGGTATTGGAGACAACGACAAAAGGTTTATGACATGACAGAGGGAATTGAGGAGTAGTAGATGATACGGTGGCCACCACTACTGAACGCTCGTGCTCTGCTGAAGTCTCGTCAGGGACACCGTCCTTTCAGCTAATCATTGACGTTAAGATGACTGACTGAGTTTGGTTTTACGCCGCTTTAAGCAATATTCCAGCATCATCACAGCGGGGGGACACCAGAAATAGGTTTCACACATTGTGCCCATCTGGGGATTCGAACCCGGGTCTTCGGCGTGACGAGCCAAAGCTTTAACCCCTAGGCTACCCCACCGCCCCGACGTTAAGACGAATGTGAGGCGAAATGGTTTTACTGCTTTCAAGATGACTGTATTTATATTGCGAGCATATGGTGTGTGTGTGTGTGCGTGCGTGCGTGCGTGCGTGCGTGTGCGTGGCCGCACTATGGTGATGAAACAAGGATCGACCAGTACACTGTGTCTGAGTGCGGTACCCTTCTTGAACTGCGACGCAGGATCTTAGTTCCTTACATTTCCGACATTTGCGAGGACAAACAGACACACACTTCCACGTCTGCGTGTGCAGGTCGCTATCTAACTGCTGTAATCGTGAATACGAAGTTAAACCCATCTTCACCTCACCTCATTTCATATCATGTAAGGACCAGTGAAAATCCGCGTTAGAATTGATCTTCAGTAACCCATGCTTGTCGTAAGAGGCGACTAACGGGATCGTAGCCCTAAGAATTCTTAACTTTGATCGTAGCCAATGTGTTAAGAATGGGTTTAAGAAGTTCGTAGGGCTTACGAAGTTTCGAGAATAGCTAGCCAGGCTCGCTGACTTGGTTGACACATGTCATCGTATCCCTATTGCGTAGATCGCCGCCATAATGCCTAGTAAAAATCTACTCCATATCATGTAATGTTGAGCTGTGTGCTGGATTCGATCGATTAAAGGCATCTTATTCAATGAAAGCGTAGAAGTACGATGATATGTTAGCAGTTGACTCCGTACAGTCGCATGAGAGACATTTGCCCCTGTGGTTTCGAATCCCAGACACGCTGGTTATGTATTTGAGTTTGTCGGTACATACACGTGCACAAACATTGTCGCTAAGGGGAAATTCGCTAGGACCTTAATCACTTCAAGCTTTTATCCAACACTAAACCATGATATAACAAACTCCCGAAATCAGCCTCTGAAAACAGTTCATTTGCACTCATCTGATTCATAATGTCATAGCCAACAATATTCAAACTCTAACACTTCGACTGCAAGTGTTTAAGCCTAGGACAGACATAGACTCTTGCGGCCCCTGACACATAGTACCTTCCCTTCCGTCCAGCCCTTACTGTAATGAGAGTGGTGGGATAGCCTAGTGGTTAAAGCGGTCGCCGAAAACCCGGGTCCGGTTCTCCACATGGGTACAATGTGTGAAGTCCATATCTGGAGTCCCCTGTCGTGATATTGCTAAAAGCGGCTAAAACTAAACTCACTCACCCAACTGCAATGCTACAGCTCTAAATGAAGCAGGTCTAAATGTTCCAGAGGTTCGGGTTCCGAATATCCCGCCTCATCGGGGCTCCTGTTAGTTTTAATGGAAATATTTGTTTCTACCAAAATCTTTTAGAGACTAACCGTTAGACTAGGCAGAACTAGGCTAGAACTAGGCTAGAACATCAGGTATCAGCTGCATGCGCAACTATTTAATGTCGAAGAGACGCATGAAATTTTTTTATTTTCTCAAACATTCAAACTTAGAGCCAGTAAATTCTCTTTTAGGGCGCTGTTTTAAAAGAACCCCGTTAAACAGTAGCGTGCTCCTTTCCAGGGCAAGTCTACATCTTGGTCTAATTCTTAGTGCAATATTCCACATTATTTTTGTAAACTTAGAGCTCTGTCTGAGTTAGGTTATTATTAAATGCTAAATCATAAACTGTTGACAAATGAAAGCATAAACTAAAAAATTAATTTGTTCCAAAAATTGCAAACATTATCAAAACGTTATTAAGCTGAAAACAGTCACCTAAACTATTTAAATACAAGATCACAAAACACAACCACAACCCCTGTATCCAATACATCAGCATCGTTTGTTTCACTTTTAGCATACATGCAAACTTTTTTTCGCCCTCCAGGTCTTTCACATGACAGGAAAACTGGGAGGATTCCGTGACTTGAATACACTGTCATGGACTGGGCATTGTCCCACATTTAAAGACGCAGTAATTTTAGCTATGTGAGCCGATTATCCTGAATATGAAGGAGTGGCCTTAGCGATCCCCGCGACAGGACTTGTTTATCACCTTGGTCAGTGATTGGGTTTAGTTTTACTCCACTTTTAGCAATATTCCAGCAATATCACGGCGGGGGACACCAGAAATGGACGTCACACATTGTTCCCATGTGGGAATCGAACCCGGGTCTTCGGCGTAACGCCGAACGCTTCCAACACGATGGTACCCCACCACACTCATCAGCTTGGTGAACGAGAGAGCCAATTAATCATCACGATCTGGGATTCGATGCCCTTTTAAGCTGATAATGGTACTGCTTTGAGTGAGTATGGTTTTACGCCGCCTTTAGCAATATTCCAGCAACATCACGACAGGGAACACCATAAATGGGCTTCCATGTAGGGAATCGACCCCGGGGTCTTCGGCGTGACGGGAGAACGCTTCAATCAGTAGGCTTAACCAAAGCCCCGGCACTGCTTTGAACGAGAGGACACACCTATTAAGAAATGAACTATTTTTTGTAAGTGCAAGCTACTGAAAAGCCTCACAGCTGCTCCCATACATGGACACAAGCTGCATTCAAGAGAGACAAGTTACATTCAAGAGATTGGTGTTCCTATTGGAACTTACACAACCAGCCAGAAGACGGGGTTCATTATGCCGGCAGCGTCTGTTTAAACAAGCCGCGATACTACGCAGCGCATCCGACAAAGCGAATACATCAGCGCTGAACAAGATGAGTGTGCACAAGGACAACACGCCTGAATGAAGCAATAACTCTTCTTCATTTTCTTTTAAACGTGAATACTCTTATTAAATATTTGACCTTCTTCCTGAAAGGGTGATTTTCTGGCCATGTGATATCACGCCTGTCTCCTTGACAGACACGCCCGGGCGCCAGGTTAAACCAGTTTACAGGGAACACCTTTCCTTTGATAACGGTATTTATCCTGTCTCTTGTGTCGAGTATTTTCATACACGTGGGTTGTAACGGTAGTTCAAGATTATTGATACTGAAGCTATATAACGGCGGGTTAGACGCTTTGTCTCTGAATATGTATAATTTTGATTGTAACAAATATACCCATTTTTTGTGTCCCCCGCCGTGATGTTGCTGGAATATTGCTAAAAGCGGCGTAAAACCAAACTCAGTCAGTCAGTATACCCATTGAAACTGAAAAGGAGCCCCACGGAGACAAGATATTCCTGAACCTGAGGAAATCTAGACTTGCTTCATTTAGGGCTTTTAGCATTGCAGGGAGGGCTAGGCAGTAGGGAAAATAATGTGGTTTAGTGTCTGTGAGACAGACTGAACGGCGGGTACCCGGTGTTTGTTTGTGAGTCTTACTTTACAAAGTGATTTAAGCGTTACGATTGTCGTACGTCTGTTTAAGTATGGGGCGTCACAATCATCTTGGTGAATTGGTCGCTTTGTCGAATGAGATCCGATCATTTAAAGGTTGACTTGGTTGACGGATGCCATCGCATTCCAAGTGCGTAGAAGGAAGTTCATAATATATTGTTAGTCATTTGAGTGCCTGGTCAGACCCGATGATTTACAGCCCGCCGCCACATTGCTGAAATATTGCTGACTGCGGCGATGAAGGTAAATTATTGATGCGTAATGATTAGACTTATGCGATTTGTACTTTTCTCAGTCACTTGAATTCAGTTGTAATTTTGATATCAAAATTCCCTTTCCAGAGACAACACGTGGGGAATGGCGGTCGCTGTGGTATTTGTGGTGACGCTTATGACAGCTTCCCACGTGAAAACGAGGATGGCGGTAAGTACGCCAACGGCATCATTGTTGGATCTTACCGTGCCGGTAGCGACATCATGGTGACAGTCCGCCTCACGACTTATCACAAGGGGTTCTTCGAGTTCAGACTCTGTCCTGACTTCAGCACATCCGATGATACATTTGAGGACTGTCTGGACCGGAACTTGATGCCAGTGCGTATGCTCGGTGGCAGAGAAGGCAGGAAGACTAGGTTTTTCCCTGACGCAGGAAGCAGGGATTACGTTCTCCTGGTTTCACTACCCCTGGGAGTCACGTGTGACAAGTGCCTCTTTCAGTGGAGATACGTCACAGGTGAGTAGATACAGACACCGTCGCAGAGTATAGTATTTGCACAAATATTGTGGTTCAGACGTGGTGGCGAGTTACGTGTCATGGACTTAAAAAATATTTGAAACCATTGTTCGGATTAAGATTCTGGGGGCAGCGACAAACCATGTCTTATCCATGGACAAAGTTGAAAATCTGAGGAGGGTCTGAACGTTGTGAACGGTCAAGCAATATACAGGCTTGTACATTTTCAGGCAGAAGAGGCGAAACATTCATGATACTTTTATCTGATCTGTCTATGTCGAAGAAGAACATCAGGTTCTTTGTGTTGTGTTCGTGTTTTGTTTGGATATATTTAAATTTCTAAATCCAGTGGAAAAGAAGTAGGCTGAAACGCTTTATAAAGCTGACATCTTACTGGCTAAAACACCCTCGCATTCTTCATCTTGATTGGACGGTCAAATTTCGTGGAAGGTTCACGTCATGCTACTTTCAAAAGACGAACAATTATGCGGAGGAATATCATATCAGAGTAAACATCTGATTTCAATAAGATTGTCATCCCAGGGAAATTGTAACTGTACATGAGAGATGGATATTGTGTTTAAGTTATCAACTATGAGCATTCCGTGCAGTGGTAACAATTACTAAAACAATCACATCCCTCTGTCACCACATTTAACATAATCCACTTTGTTCCCATGTTCCTAGCTACCATTTTTCCCAACTTGATCACTGACTTCACGTTTATTGTGTTGTCAAGCTATCTGCTATAGGGTGGTCAGGCTCGCTGACATGGTAGACACATGTCATCGTATCCCAATTGCGTAGATCGACGCTCGTGCTGTTGATTACTGGATTGTCTGGTCCAGACTCATTCATTTAGATGCCGCCGTCGTATAGCTGGAATATTGCTGAGTGTGTCGTAAGAGTAAACTCACTCACTCACTCACTCACTGTGTTATACTATCTACGCCAGTACGTAATATCAAATCCTATTTTCGATCAGGCAAAGACTGGGGTCGTGACACGGAAGCGGAAGATGGATGTGTCGGATGCGGTCCTCAAGAGTGGTTTGTCAACTGCGCAGATATCAACATATTCGCCACAGACTCAGTCACGCCAACACCACAACCTTCGACTTCCAAGAGGACGACGACGACTACAACAACAACAACCACTACTGCTATACGTCCCACGCCACAACCCGTACCGGCGCCTAACGATAGCCCTAAATGTGTTGCTGCCGACTCCTTCTCCCATGTCCCTGGCATGGACACCTGGTGTCGAATACTCTGCCCCCGCTTCTGTCCTGTCACTCACTGTGTTTGCGCATAGAACTTCTGGATATTTCCAATCGGCTCTACACCGTCCAAAAAGGATTTCGGTCAGCAGTGGAAGAAATGCTTATTGAAACTAGCTTCGTTCGCGATCTGTTCACAAGACGCAACACAAAATGGCGGCAAGAGATCTTTTATGTAACGATTCAGACTTTTCCCGTTGACTTTATCTTCACGTCAATCTGGTTTAGCAGAGACATACGGCTTTTCCTCTAATAAGGGCCCGGACGTTATTAATTGAACAAGCTTCCAAACCAGGGGGTAATGGAGGACCGGCGCTTTCTAAGAGTGAGTGAGTTTGGTTTTACGCCGCATTTAGCAATATTCCAACAATATCACGGCGGGAGACACCAGAAATGGGCTTCACACATTGTTTCCATGTGGGGAATCGAACCCGGGTCTTCGGCGTGACGAGCGAACGCTTTAACCATTAGGCTACCCCACAGCCCCCGCTTTTCAAGAGACCTGGCACGTATTGCTCTTACTGGACCCGGAAGTTGTCAATATTTTTGGGCTTATTTGAGGAAATACGGTATTTTCAAACGTGTCTGTCGTGTTATCAGAACCATATTCTACGAGATCTTGCGCCCTGCAGCCAACACTGAGTTCAGGAAGGAGGCCTACGTCTATTCCAGTGCTGTCTGAGATATCAGGAACCTAAAGAAATAAACCGTGGGCCCGAGTGCGCATTCTACAACCCCAGTAGCATTCTTCAACTCAACCCCAGAACCATCCCTTGAACACTTGTGCAAGTTGAACAATGTGGACAGTGCAATGGTTGAATGTATAAAGCGTTCGACGGCACATCACAAGACCAGTTCGTTTTCCATCGTAATTATAACGCTCCTTGGTAGCACACTCCCGGTGTCGAACCGTCACATTGATGGAATATTGCTTGAAACTCGTTACCCGGTGCCATGCGAACTGATTTTGTTAGCTCTGAAATTTTGTGTCCCTGTGTTGTATTACATTTTGAGCATTGCTGAAATGTCTACGTCTTAACTTATAAAAATCTTTAAATCAATCGTATTTATGATGTTGTGGTGTCCGAGTGGGAACAGACACAGTCTTCTAAATATCTCAATATACAATAGACAAGCGACGGACGCTCTTTCCTTCAACCGGTTACATATCCGTTCCGAGACAACCATTCTGAACTTCCATTATCAACGTTAGTTAGCATGACGTCTCCTCGTCACGCCGAAGGCACGGGTTCGATTCCCTAAATGTGTGAAGCCCATTTCTGGTGTCCCCGCCGTGATATTGTTGGAATATTGCAAAAAGCGGTGTAAAACTTAACTCACTCAGTAGTAAGCATGATCATAAACGAAGCTTCCATAAAATGACAATGTTTTAGCCATAGTTCCATGGCGTGTTGGGTTAGTGTTCGGTGGTGAAATGGTTTGTCCATTACGACGAGATCCTAAGGCTGAATCCCTGCATGAATTATTTGTTTCCAGTTGGAATAGTTTTTAAAGTGGCGTAAACACTCATTCATCTACCCTAGTTGCAGAGAAACGAGTCGGAACGCAAAAAGAGTGAGTTTAGTTTTACGCTGCTATGAGCAATATTCCAACAATACCATAGCGGTTGATACCAGGAATGGGTTTCACACATTGTACCCAATCGGGGAATCGAGACGAACCAACGCTTTAACCAACAGGCAACCCCACCGCCCCGAATACACAAAGAACATCTCGAGTCACATAAACAAATGACATTGCTCACGATTTTCTTCTGAAAATATATCATTTTGATAGAAACAAGCAATTTAAATTGAAAAAAATAGATTGCAGTGACATGGGCTTTAACCGATGACAAAATCTAGGCATGCTTTACTTGCCCAAGCATAACACTAAGTACTCGGATACAGAAAAATGATGACAAACGTGACGCTGATCACTTTGTTACATATATTTATTCACATGTATCGAAGACGGAAGTACTTTCCCTATCACTACTCATCGGTTATTTTAGCGGCTACTTTCCACACCACTTGTCATGAGTTAAGTAGCCAGCTGTGCTGTGGTGACCTGGGTGTTGATGCCACACATCCCTGCCCCACGTTGTATGTTGAAGTAGCCTTCTTCTCCCCACTTCGCTCCCCAGGAGTTCTTTACCTTCCAGTATGGGTGTGTCTTGAAAATTTCCTTCTCCGATCCGAATCCGACCACTAAAACAGCTGGAAAGAAAAATAATCTGATGTTGACCACTCACATTTTGTTAGACTCGACTTGAATGTCAATCATTCCAATACGACACCTTTCTGCGTTGAGATACGAGCACACCTCAACACTGTTGACAACAGTCTGACCGACAAGTCCACATAGCGGCCTTATTTTTCTACATTCGGAACTTGTAATATTTTTTTTCAAGGTACAGAAAACGGATGTACTGGTCTGACTTTTTGGGTAATTCGTAATGAATTAAGTGGCCTCGACACTTGTTGTCTGATTCATAGGGTAACTTCTTCGCGCATTCTCTTGACACAGAGGGGTATCGGATTGAAGTTAACATTGATCCAGAGTGGATCGAGAACGTCTAAAGTACAATGCGTCCTCCGTAGTGTAGTAGACAGAGCGTCTGCCCGGAGAGCGCAAGGTGAACCACTGGCCACGTCGATCATTCTGGACAAGGACTTTGGAGATGGAACTTGTCACAATCGACATGAACATGGGCTGTTTGGCCAAGGCAGTATCCTGGGTTCCCGATCCACAAAGCGTTCATAGCGCTACGACAGTCGCAAGCCTATGATATACTATAGAGTTACGTCAGGTCGTAACGTTACGAACGCTTTGTGGATCGGTACCCTGATTCACAAAGCATTCGTAACGTTACGAGCTGTCGTAACTGTATAGTTTATCATGGGCTTGCGAATGTCGATGGGCTACGAACGTTTAGTGGATCGGGACCCTGGGCCCTAACCACAAAGCGTTCGTAGCACTACGCCATTCGTAAACCTGTGATGAAGTTTAGAGTTACGATAATTCGTAACGCTACGATCGCTTTGTCGATGGGGCCCCTGTATCCAAGTGGGTGTCTGCTGCGCGCTATCTCAAACCTGCACGCATGTCGCTGAACGTGAAAAACTCTTGAACGCGATATTCAAACCAATTTCACCTTACCTCACCTAAACTCATCTCACATCTATGTGTACAACCATCACAGCACTAATATATTGGTAACAACAGACTACTGCGTAAACCCTCACTTACTCACTCAAACATTTACCGTAGTCCAGAGTCGTTTTGCTGCAGTTACAACCCGCGGCAGTAGGTGTGGAGACGGTTGGCATCCATGTAACCTAACACTACACTTTCACACACTCACCGTGGTCGAGAGCTGTCTTGCTGCAGTCGAAAGGGTCGTACACACCGCGGCGGTAGAACTGAAGACGGCTCGCGTCCAAGGCTACAGACAGAGGCCCGTACTTCATCAAAGCTGCCGCCATTTCAGTCTCGTTCTGAATATAGATATAATATACACCCTACAACTACCCATACTCAATTATGTAATCTATCGTCATCGTCATCTTTCCTATAAATAACGTTCAACAAATGTTTTCTCGGAAACGTTATGCCTACGACAACCCGAGTGTCCATGGGTTCTATTCTGACTGTGAAAGCAACGGAATTCAATGCAATGACATATATTTTTAAAAACCACTTCGTTGCATGTTTCCATATTTCGTACAGTTTTGTACAAGGGGACTGTTCAATATATATGTGACGTTTCGGTATAGATGCTAACACCGTTATCCATGGGTTCTATTCTGACTGTGAAAGCAACGAAATTCAATGCAATGACATATATTTTTAAAAACCACTTCGTTGCATGTTTCCATATTTCGTACAGTTTTGTACAAGGGGACTGTTCAATATATATGTGACGTTTCGGTATAGATGCTAACACCGTTATCCATGGGTTCTATTCTGACTGTGAAAGCAACGGAATTCAATGCAATGACATATATTTTTAAAACCACACTTCGTTGCATGTTTCCATATTTCGTACAGTTTTGTACAAGGGGACTGTTCAATATATATGTGACGTTTCGGTATAGATGCTAACACCGTTATCCATGGGTTCTATTCTGACTGTGAAAGCAACGGAATTCAATGCAATGACATATATTTTTAAAAACCACTTCGTTGCATGTTTCCATATTTCGTACAGTTTTGTACAAGGGGACTGTTCAATATATATGTGACGTTTCGGTATAGATGCTAACACCGTTATCCATGGGTTCTATTCTGACTGTGAAAGCAACGGAATTCAATGCAATGACATATATTTTTAAGAAACACTTTGTTGCATGTTTCCATATTTCGTACAGTTTTGTACAAGGGGACTGTTCAATATATATGTGACGTTTCGGTATATATGCTAACACCGTTATTAAAGAAGTAACTATATTTTAACCGCCATGGCATGTTCCCCAACTTGTTTTGAGTAGATAATTTCAAGCTGGTAGTTAGTGTATCCATGGTTCTTTCCTATTTTGAGGCGGTGGGGAAGCCTAATGGTTAAAGCGTCCGCTCGTCACGCTGAAGTCCCGGGTTCGATTCCCCACATGAGTACAATGTGTGAAGCCCATTTCTGGTGTCCCCCGCCGTGATATTGCTGGAATATTGCTAAAAGCGGCGTAAAATCCAACTCACTAACTGTTACCTGGCTAATGGCCTTCCAGTCAGTGACCTTCAAGCCGGGCACAAATCTCTGGGGGTTGATCTTCGCTGCACAGCTCTCATTCTTCAGACAGTAAGGGACTGATGGTCCGCAGTACGTCTTGTTGTATCCAGGGGGCTTGCAGGGGAAGCAGGGGTCTTTGTTCCCCGAACAGTAGCTGTAGTTGGTCCACGTCTCCAGGCCGCCCTGCACGTTGACGATAATCGATGAGACATTGACACATAAATAGACACAATGCCATTTATAAAGTGGTCAAATGTAACATTTGTTATATTTGGGATTGGACTTGCTACGTAAAGTACAGATTCTAGTACTTTTGTTGGGTTGAGTCCCATCCGGGATTCGAACTCACATCCTAAGAGTCAGCCACCTAGTCGTCAGCACACAAAGTCAGCCATCTAACCCACTCAGCCGATGACTGATTGAGAAAGCGTAATCCCAAATACAACTTTCTCTTACATTGACACATGCTTAAGAGTTTATACATGCAGCTCTAAAAAAGGAAAATCAAACTTCATGCAAACTTCAATACAAATGAATTCATTCTGAAATCAAATAAGGTTATTTTGAAATATCTCTAGGAAGACATCTCCTATTTCGTGATTCAGTTACACGTGCATGTTCATGCATGGTTCACATTCTGAATGTTCGTATGTTAGTTGGATGCATGAAACCAAAACACGTGAACAGCACACATTGTTTGTTTAGCTATCACGTGTTATCAGGTACCGCTTCAACAATGACACAACAGCTGTTGTACAAATGCAGGGACATGTGCACGTTGCAGAAGGATAATACCGCCTCAAAGGTTGCATTTTGTAACCGACCTATTCAGGCAGCACAACAATGTTGTGCTGCCAATGGCCGATTAGGGCGGTGGAATAGTCTAGTGGTTAAAGCGTTCACTCGTCACACCTAAGGCCCGGGTTCGATTCCCCACATGGGCACCATGTGTGAAGCCCATTTCTCGTGTCCCCCGCTGTGATATTGTTGGAATATTGCTAAAAGCGGCGTTAAACTAAACTCACTCACTCACCCAGTGGCCGATTATATTTCATGAACAGTCACTGTCGACCTATCTCACGTGTACTGTAGATTTCATAAACCGCGTATGACTGGGACTACCTCACGTGTACAATCTAACATAAAGCAGTGAAGATACAATGCATCTCCGTGGTCCTACCTACCGCTCTCTCGACGTACTGGTAGGCCAAATATGGCCATCCGCCGAACACCCCACAGTCCGCCCTCTTCCTGACAAAACATAGGACAAGGGCCATCATCATCATTAAATAGATATAATCAGCTCACACAGTACCGAATACCAATGTAAGAGAGGACAAAGAGCAGAGGCCTGGGTGTCGTTGTACAAAGCGATCTTAGCGTTAAGGTGGTCGTAAATCCGATACATCAATATAGACTTACGACTGGCGTAGCGCTACGGTTCCTTTGTACAACGGCACCCTAATCTTCAAAGCATATTAGAAGATGGTATTTTGAAACTGATACCTTACTTTGATATTGATTTGTTTGTTTGCTGTCTAACGTCGCACTCAGCAATATTCAAGCTTTTGGGACGTTGGTCTGTAAATAACCGAATCTGTACCAGACAATCCAGTGACCAACGATAACACGTGTCAACCAAGTCAGGTAGCCTGACGAACAGATCCCGTAAGTCGCCTCTTACGACATATTTTACAGGTGAGTGAGTATGGTTTTACGCCACTTTTAGCAATATTCCAGCAATATCAAGGCGGGGGACACCAGAAATGGGCTTCACACATTGTACCCATGTTGGGAATCGAACCCGGGTCTTCAGCGTGACGAGGGAACGCTTTAACCACTTTTAGAAGTGAAGTCTGGAGTGGTAGATCGGGGCGTTCAGGAATATTGTATACACATGTATGTGTGGCTCCTTGTGTTTGTTGGAGCCTTACTCTGACCCCATCAATTCTTGTTTATGTACCCATATTGCAGAGCACCAGGCAGGGTAACAACAAATACCATCATTATACGTTTTCCGTACGCTCTTTGGATCTCATCACCGACCTTCCACTCTCAAGGGAGACAACTCTATCCACTAGATAACGTAGGCGGTCATAACCTACTTTTGAAGGATTGATAAAGAAACTGTAGCTGCAAGGTAAATCATACTTTTAAGGATCAAGACATCAAATGTATTGAAGTATATGGAGTATGAGTTCCTACTGTTCTGGGTCCATGGTTCCATCACATTCCACGAGCTGCTCAACGGACAGGTTGGTGAGGGGTTTCCCCTGCATGACCCACTGCCCCTCGATGTTCCCCACAGTGCTGGCGACAGAGAAGAAAACAACATTGATCGAATAGATAACACGACTAGGGATATTGTTGACTGAGAGATAAAACCAAACGCATTAACTCATTTATATCGGACCGATAATCAAAGATATGAGGATTTCCTATGACTAGTCACGTCAGAACGAATTTCGATCCTGAGTGTCCTTAGGATTTCTGTAATTCTGCCTCAAAAGGCCAAATGAGTGAGTTTGGTTTTACGCCACTTTTAGCAATATTCCAGCAATGACACGGCGGGGGACACAAGAAATGGATTTCACACATTGTACCCATGTAGGGAATCGAACCCGGATCCTTGGCGTGATGAACTGTAACCGCTAGGCTACCCCAAAGGCCAAATGAAACCCCACGTATGCCAAACACATAGCTTGAAGCCCTAAATGACTGCTTGAAACTATATCCGTATAATCACACAACGGAGGCAGTACCCGTTCAATTTCTCCCACAATAAACGGAAGTAATTCCTTGTTTGATTGTCAAAGAATATTTATCTTTATTAACACTATTTATAAATATTTATTTTAGCAACTCACAGATGTGCCAAACTTTGAATTTATACACAGACCAATACTTTCAAACCATCGATTAAACTTATTCCGAAATAATGTATAATCTATAGTCTACCCATTTTCTGCATCTACAAACTGTACACTCGTACACGAGGCATGACAACACTAGCTATGTCATGCTATTAAAGAATTGACGTGTATGTCATAAAAGTACAAACACGGGCTTTAGCTTGTTCTTATACAATTTTTACACAATTGATTTAAACATATTTTATTCTTACACATTTAACAAGCAAAGTACTAAACGTCCGATTCTGTTGCTAGATGACTAGATCAGACGACGATAATGTCGAGTCGGTTGTGTCGAACCCCGGATAAGGCGAACTTCAGTCCCATTAGTTCGATACAACAAGGTAGGAGTGAATGACTTACCTGAAAGCCCAGCATGTGCCCACGGAACCTGGAAAATGTAGAGATCGCATAGCAAGTAATCGAATGTCAGATAGCAGTAGGGCTATGTTAATACTACCGGAATAATTAACATAGATTGTAATTATGTCTACACCTTGCATCGGCGACATGGCATCAAAATATTAAAAATGGCGAGAGTGTCCGAATCAAATCGTTCGGGTACGAATTTACACCACAACAGCGATTCGTTATCTTTTGTATCATTTGTAACCTCCCGAAGACTTGTCACACTATCGACGGGTGAGTGAGTGGGTTTTCTTTCACGCCGCCTTTAGCAGTATTCCAGCAATATCACGACGGGGGACACCAGCAATGGGCTTCACACATTGTTTACGTATGGTTTACGTATTAACGTAAAAACTGTTGTCAGGACTGATAACCTTGCTGACTTTGAGTCATCTCCCCTGTAAATGTGGGGTGTGCTCACAATATCAGCCATTGCGGTGTCTGGCCAGGTTCGATAATTTATTTAGAAACCGCTTGTGTTTTGTTCGAACATGATGTAAACAAACTAAAAATCAAGGTTTTAGAATCGCAAGATAAAAGTTTTAAAAAGATTCTTTCTTTGCCCTCTGGTCGCCGTACTGAAAAATACCATAAGCAGATTTCATGGCACTAGCGGGCCTGTGGTTAAAGCGTGGTCACGCTGAAGACACGGGCTGGATTCTCCAGATCGGTACAATGTGTGATGCCCTTTTCTGGTGTCCCCCGCCGAGATATTGCTGGAATTTGCAAAAGCGGCGTAAAATTATACGCACTCACTCACTCACTCATGGCACTAGCTACCTTGATCCTTGACTGACGTCACCTTGCCCTGTGTTGTCCAATCAAACGAGTCGGGGAGAGAGTCGACGGGGCCAATATCGAGGTATCTGTAAGAAAAGGTGCAGGGAATATCAAATCCAAGGTCCAGGACCCGATTACACAATGCAGGACCCGATTACACAATGCAGGACCCGATTACACAATGCAATCTGAGTGCGTGACGAGCGAAGGCTTTAACCACTAGGCTACCCCACCAAACCTAAAGCAATACTTTCATTCATTTACAACCTCCAAAACATGGAAAAACATGTATTTTGAGTAAAAGTCAATATTCTCGACCATTGGCCAAAATGTTTTTCGCCCATAGGCGAGATTTTTTAATATCGCTCTAAATTAGCCGAATTAAGTCAAAATAAGTTAAATTTGTGTCATAATACTTATAAACATACACTCATTGATTTACAAACCCCAAAACATGGAAAAACATGTATTTTGAATATAAATAAAAAATAATAGTCAATATTCTTGCCCATGGGCCAAAATGTTTTTCGCTCATGGGCGAGATGTTTTAGTATCGCTCTCAATTAGCCGAATTACGTCAAAATGAGTTAAAATTTGTGTCATGATGCTTATAAACATACACTCATTCATTTACAACATCCAAAACATGAATTCTGAGCGAAACTAAACATTCTCGCCCATGGGCGAGCGAGTTTAAATTAAAAGTTTTCAAAAAATATTTTTTCATTTTTTCATCCTTAGCACATATTCATAACTGCATGTTTGATTTGGCCAAATCCCTTGTCAGAAAGTGACCACAGTGAGGAGAGTTTTTGGACTTTTGGGAGTCCAGAATTAAATTGTGACGACATTGCCTGTGAATGTTACCAATGGCAACTACGCTTCTCCTAGCGCCAACAAGACAAGCCAAGACAGGAACATCTGCAGTTTAGTGACACGAAGGGTTATGTGAAACGTGTTACTGTAGGTATTGTTGTGTGTGATCTCGGACAGTCGAGGTACAACCCTAAGTGCATGTTTTCGGTTTCACACCGAGTTCTATTGACGATATCCATCTGAAGTGCTTCTCATGGCATATTTACTATTTTTATGAAAGTCACATTCAAACCTACAAACTTGAGAAGTCGGAATATGGATTCGAACCACGACCATAGGTTTGTCGCACCGTTAACTCATGCTACCCACACACCCAAAAGTTAATGTGTGAATTTATGTATTCTCATGGGGGTGCAGCCAGTCCTGTTCTGCTGAAACTCATTTGGAGTAAGTGACGTCATCTTGGTAAATTGTTTTATCAGACAGGCGCTTACCACATAGATATGGTGACAAGTGATATGTAGTGGTGTATTACACCAATGTTATTTTTCTTGGGAATTGATATTCCGATATGTGACTCTTCATCAGTATTTACCTGTATTGTGGGAAATAAGCATTTTCCTGTCTTGGGCGAAGCTGATATTTACCTGTCTTGTGGGAAACCAGTATTACCTATCTTGTGCGAAGCTGAGACTTACCTTTCTTTGACGAAGATGACATTTACCTGTCTTGGGCGAAGCTGATATTTACCTGTCTTGTTGGAAACCAGCATTACCTATCTTGTGCGAAGCTGAGACTTACCTGTCTTTGGCGAAGATGACATTTACCTGTCTTTGGCGAAGCTGATATTTACCTGTCTTGTTGGAAACCAGCATTACCTATCTTGTGCGAAGCTGAGACTTACCTGTCTTTGGCGAAGATGACATTTACCTGTCTTGTGGGAAACCAGTATTTATTGAAGCTGAATTTTCCTGTCTTTGGGGAAGGTGATATTTACCTGTCTAGGGTGAAGCTCATATTTACCTGTCTAGGGTGAAGCTGATATTTACCTGTCTAGGGTGAAGCTGATATATACCTGTCTAGGGTGAAGCTGATATGTTCCTGGATATTTACCTGTCTTGGGTGAAGCTGATATTTTCCTGGATATTTACCTGTCTTGGGTGAAGCTGATATTTTCCTGGATATTTACCTGTCTAGGATGAAGCTGATATTTACCTGTCAAGGGTGAAGCTGACATTTACCTGTCGAGGGCGAGGCTGATATTTACCTGACAAGGGCGAAGCTGATATTTACCTGTCTTGCGGGAAGTCAACACCAGGACGTCTTGGCATCAACACCTTCTCTTGGAACTCTTCTGGTGTGAGGTCAGCAAACTGGTTGGCTGTGAACTCAGTCCGTCCTCTGAAACATACCATCAATGGGTTTATGCCACAGTCAGCAGTTCTGGGAGCAGCGTAGCATGAGCGCGGATATTGTCTTCAAGTAAGTGAGTTGGGTTTTACGCCGTTTTAGCAAGATTCCAGTAATATCACGGAGGGGACACCAGAAATGGACTTTACACATTGTGGCCATGTGGGGAATCTAATCCGGGCCTTCGGCGTGCCGAGCGAACGCTTTAACCACTAGGCTATCCCACCGCCCTTATACTTTTCATGAAAAGGAGAGGTACATTCGTGAATCATAAGCCTACCTGGAGGTGCTTCAGTTCAATACAAATACCTGGAACCTCGAGACGACATTTGCGCGTGCGCGTGTGTGCGTGCCAATATGTGTGTATGCGTGCGTGCGCATATGTGCGTGTGTTTGTGCGAGTTGGGGGTGATGTGGACGGTGCTGACCACTGGAGATCCGTAGATGGTGAGTGATCGATGCCCAGATAATCTTCTCGATAATCTTTTACTACATTTACCACACCAATATCTGATTACAGTGCAAATACGCATACTCACCATGAGCGTAAGAAATTATATTTATTGGAAATCTCGAAAGACATCTTATAACATTCGGGTTGTTCCCGCTCACCCAGCTCTATGATAATTATGTGTATCAGTTCGCATCCAATTATAAACTTGTATATATAATGTCAATAGAAGAAAATGTCACTTAACCATGGCGAATGCTCAGATTGCAAACAGCACTCCTTTTATTCCAAATGGACGAGGAGGGCAATACATGTATTTGATTCACATGGGATATAAGTTTATTATCTAAACGAGAAAATTGACGTCTATTCACTGGAGATGCTACCAGAAAGATTGTCTAGCTACAATCAACACAAAGGATGGTATTGTGACCACGTACTCCAACTAGCACAACCATCAACCAGATACATATGAGAGCAAGAACTCTGCAGATCTCTGCTCTTGTTTCCAGTTTATGGGTATCAAGTTTGACCCAACAACTGTTGTCTTATGGGATTATCACGCTTGACTGGTTCATTAAC